ACTCGCATCATTTAAAGACCAATATGGCTACAGTTGAACAACTTTAGCAATCTCATACTTCAGACCTCCTAAGAATCTTACAATGGTTTACTCTTTTGGTTCCATAAACTCTCCTTTTAACATTAGGTTATCGAATTCTGCAATGTACTCTTCCACACTAAGATCTTTTTGTTTAAAATCATAGATTTTGAGAAAGATCTCTTGCCCATAATTGTCAGGTAAATATTTTTTTTTCAGCTCCTTTTTCATTTTTTCCCATGTCACGATCTTACTCTTCCCCTCACGTTCTCTTTGTTTTTTCAGATTTTTCCACCAAAAAGATGCATTCCGTCTGAGTTTGAGTGCCACAAGTTTGACCTTCTTTTGTTCTGGTGGTTCATGAAAATAAAAAAAATTTTCTACTGTATTAAACCAATCAATAAAGTCATCAACATTTATTTTGCCTTCAAACTCTGGAATCTCCAATCTTGGGTTATATTTATTCTGCCACTCGTCTTGGATTCCATTTCTTGTCCGACATCTTCTCGACTCTCTTGGAAGAGGAGGTGTATCATCATCAGAAGTAAACTCACGGATATCATTTTCATGCAGATTGTTTCTACTTCGAAGTTCTTCAATTATTTCATTTTTTTTCTTATAGACTACACAACAATCTTCGTAGCTGTAGCCTCAACGACTCAGCATTATCTTCATGGCAACTACCTTCACCAACTATATCTTTTCCATTTCGCCTTGTCATAATCTATAGCTTTTAGCTTTGATACCAAACTGATACCGGGGTGATGCAGTATGGGAGAGAGTGTAGTATAATAGAATTCGAGAGAAAACCGATAATACAGTTTGTCGAATAGAAAAGGAGCGAACTAACGAAACAACTTTGATAAAAACGAAAAAATAGCTCACCACCAAGTTTAAAATCACAATGGGATACAGAAAGTTCACTACCCAACGAAAATTAAACAAGGATACAGAACTAGAAAATAAAAGACTCACCACTCAAGAACGCATCCAAGAGATACAGAGTTTATGGGAGTACTCCAAGAAATCTTCTGCTAAAATATCATCAGTTTCTAAAGTTCTTTTTAAGCCCTAAACACCAAAATAAATACTAGTGCATGAAACAACCTTTTATGCATAGGGAATTTCGAAATTAAGTGTTTTACAGCTGCTAACCAACTCCTTTAATGTATTCCTTGGTCATGAAGAAAAGCATCTTGAAATAGCTTTAATTTTGTGTAGGGAATATGTTGTTGAGCTGTCATATTTGAGTAGGCTGAGTTCAAGACTAAGAGGTAACAATATTGGCTGAAAAAAATACCATAGCATCAGTAAGGTCCATATGAGCAGATTGTATCAAATTAGACACTCCCGTGTCAGTATTGACACATGGACCAGGGTAAACTGAGCAATATGCTTACAAGGCTTGTGTACCACTTGTCACTTGATATGAGCCTTGCTTAGCTAGGCACGTGCCACTCAGGGCTTGTATCAGGCAGTAATATATATTTTATAAAATTTTCAATCTTTTTTCATTTTTTCAAAGCTCAGTACATACTGACACATGGTATGCTGGTACAACTGTTCAGGCTAGGACAGGTATGGATCCTCCACTCGAAATTAAAAACCTTGCATGTTTGTACATGTCATGGTGACATTAAAGGACAATCCTTGCTTGTCAAAATACTTGTGATGTAGGTTTTACTTTTTTTGTTTAAATTATTGAAGTTAGACCCTTGGTAGCACTAATTTTACAAGTTCTGATGCATCCTTTTTAGATGCTTCACAATTTAGAAGTTCTACAAGAATCATGATTCATAAAAAGGTCACCCTGAAGCATGAGGCTCCCATCAATGTTGATTTGGGGAGGATCAGTGTTGCCTAACCTACAAGTATGAAATTTATTTTTAAAACTTGAACACTAGTCACCTAGGTCATAAATGAAAAGCCCTATTGTGACATGGAGGCTCATGTTCATATAAATCATAATTTGTAAAATTCATAATCTTCTAAAGCTTGGAATCACAATTCTATATATCATGAGATGTATTATGTATGTTTATAAATATGACATCCTTTACACAATTAGAGTTCAAATTCTTTGTAATAGATTGTTGAACGCAAATAAAATAAAGAAGTGTTAGATAAAAAAGAAGATTATTTGTATTATTTTGTGTCTGATTAAAGATATATAAATATTGTTTGTATACAAATAAATATAAAGCAGAACCACAGATACACATGCTTTCTAGGCACTTTGATCGTTATATTTTTAAACCTTGCCTGCTTCAAATCAAAACTACACCCTGATCCATATTCATACCGGTTTTAGGCTCCTTAGGTCAGATCACATGATGTCAAATTCTGGCCTTTAGCTTATATAAATTCCTCTCCTTCCCTTCCTTCCTCCCTACCTCTCGCTCTCTCTCTCTAATTTGTGCTCGAACATTTTGTTGCAAATTGATTCTATAACCAAAAGATTTGATGAATACATTCACAATAAATTTTGGTTGTTTTGGCATATCCTATCCTCGCATTACCAAATCCTACTAATTACTATTTGCAAATTAGCTATCCTGTCTTAAGTATCTGGAATTTTGTTGGTGTTTCATGATTGGCAGCTGGTAGGCCTTTGCATAAATGAATTTTATCTCATAATTTTGGACTAGAGAGTATAACTTCAAAACGACCTAGGAGAATTAAGTTCTTGGTATCTTTCCTCTTTGGTGATGTGCTGCCGAAGCCTGAGTGTTCCATTGGAACTTTTAGGAAGACAGCCAACTTCTTGGCATTTGACATGCAATACACTTGACAATCATAATGTCAAGTGTTCCAGTGCTAAGAAGAATAATGAGAGCACCTTTGAGGAAACTGACAAAGTGGTTCCTTTTTGTCATGTGGATACATGCAATGATAGATATGTATAAACTAATATTACATTATCCTTGCTGATCAGTTAAGTTTTAAAATTTGGCATGTACTACTGATGGCATCAATGTGTGTTTTTGGTGGTTGAAAGTTTAAAGGAATGTATGTATGAAATCTTCAATTGTTTGATAATCAAAATGTTCTATCATTTAAATTTTTTGGTGATAGAATTGATTTCTTTTTCAGGTGTGCATGTTAAGCATATTTATCTGAAATCTGTATGGTAGTTTTAGCGTTGTTCATACATTTAATTTGTGGAGTTTGAAGCTTTGACATTACTCCTTGGATGAACGGTTAAAGTGTCACCATTTGCCAGTGTTAAATTTAGTACATTGAACTCTTGATTTCACAGCCACAAATATTCTAGGTATGAGCAAAAGTATTTTCTGATACTCGGATTGGAGATATGAAAGCATCATGGTCTTATCTTCGGAGACCTTTGACAAATACCTGACCTTATTATTTTTTTTTGGTAAGTACCTGACCTAATTATTTGTGATAGCCGTGTTTAATGGAAAGATTTTAGAATTTTACAATGTAAATGCTGCCCAGAGTTTATACTTATTTGCTTAACTCAGTTATTTTTTTCTCTACCATATTCATATCTTTTCAATCAGCTTAGCTAAAGAAGATTGAAGCGGGATTGACGGAGAGTTGGTATCGCAACCTTACCTCTAATATCAAACCATGGTCACATATTATATAGCAGCAACTATGCCATCGTTGTTTTAACTTAACTACTTGATATAAACAGACATTATAATATGAGGATGCTGGTTGATTATTTAAAGAGTTCTTCTTTGTCAAGGTTGGAGAAGATCAAATTGAATGCTTGGTCGAGAGTAGTACTAGGATGGGTGATGTTTACAATGTTCCTTAGGCAGCCAGTAAAATGCTTCTTGATCTTGATAGTTATTGAACTATTGTTGGTGTTGGAGACTGGAAAATGGAAAGATGACTAACTTTTATTCAAAAAATGTTTCTAAGTAGGATACACTACACAGAAACTAGTGAAATAGACAGAAGAGAACAATCACACAGCAAAAAACTCATGATTTAAATGTTCAGACAACATGCCCATGTCCACGTGTGAAGATATTAGGGAAAAACACAAAGTTGGAACAGGCATAGCAATGTTGAAAGCAAGGTTCGCAATACCGTATCGTACCGGTATTTCGACCTGGGCTCGGTACCGGTACGGTACGGTATACCGAGCGGTACACCCAGGTGTACCGAGTACTGTAGCACTGCTACAGTGCTACAGTGCACTCAAACCGGTAACAGTCGGTCTGCGTACCGACAACCTGTCGGACCGGTACGTACCGTCCGTACTGGGCGGTATGGCTCGGTACGGCAGACCCTGGTTGAAAGGACCCTTTGACACAATTTTCTCAGATAACAATTGCCTTTCTTGAATCCTGCAAGATTTAAAGATGGCTAATCAATGAATTAGCCCCTAAGTGAAATATATGTATGAACATTGGCCAAAAGATTCAGGTTGGGGGCTCTTATCTTTGAACTCCCACATGGGATTGGAAAGCGTTTGGAAAACATAAGACATGCCTCTCAGTCGGCCTCAGCTCATTGGCTTCCTACATTGAGTCTGGTGGGGAGGCCCCATTTTCAGCATACTGGAGTGAGGGAATATGAAATACATAGCCACTATTTCGAAACTGTTGCCATTCTTGTGCTAGCACAGGAGGTTGTCACCTTCATTTATTTTGTCTTGGTCGCTTACTATTATATCTTCCTCAAGCATTAGCTGTGCATAATGGAGTTTCTTTGATCTTGAGTCACTTTAGTTGATCCATTATTTTCAAGGCCAGGCCCTAGTGGAGGGACCCAGCACTGTAGTTTTGAGTGCTTCTTTTATTGGAGATGGATTGTGAAGGATCTGTTTTATTGCTGGTTCAATTTCCTCTTTCATTTTCTCATATTTTCTAAATTTGCATGTTCATTCTAGAGTTTTTACAACATTATATATGTCAAGTATTACCATTGCAGCTATGTGCGATTGTTTGCCTATGCAATTTGTTCTCCTTTTCAATTTTTCTGAATCTAGTTTACCATTGCAGCTATCAGCAACGGAGATTGGTAAGCACAAAATAAGAGTCAATGCAGTTGCCCGTGGTCTTCAATTGGATGACGAGTATCCTCGTGCAATGGGGAAGGAGAAGGCGGAGAAGTCCATAGCGGATATCATGCCGTTGTTGCGATGGCTCGATCCGAAGAATGATGTTGCTTCTACCGTAACGTACATGGTGGGAGATGATTGCCGTTACATGACTGGCACTACCATTTTCGTTGATGGAGCTCAATCCATTGTCAGGCCTAGGATGCGTGCTTACATGTAATGCAATGGCCTTTTTTGTTTTTTTTTTTTTCTGAATGCAATTCGGTATAATCAACTGGCATGAGTAGTACTCTTATTGTGACAATGAGAGACCTACCCGAGTTAGAGTAGGATGATGCTTCTTGAAGCATAGCAACGATTAATGATAATAAGCTTAATCAATCGAGTCGTGAGGAGGTTTCTTTGTTAAGATTACAGATTAACTTTTGGGCTTATTACTCCCAAGATTTCCATTTCTTTGCACATTGGTAATTCAGATTTGTTGACCAAATTAGATCTGAAAACGTGTTTAATATTTTGATATTTTGTAGATGTGTACTGGTAGCATGTGGTAGATTTTATATAATAAAATTGCACATTGGTAATTCTCTCATCTTTCCTTTGTCTTCTCCTCGTCTTGCTCTAAGGATAATAAAATAAATAAAAAGACAGCAAGAAAAAAAATGATAGAAGATAATATCATTAACTAGAATAATTAAGATTATGTACATATTTATTTATAAAAAAAATGGCTAAGATAAAAATGATATGTTATCCGGTAAAAAAATGATTCTAAAGAAATAAATTATATAAATTACATGTTTTATAATATATATATATATAAAATAAAAGATAATTTTGATAAAATAAAAAAAGGATTACCCTATTATATTATATTATATTATATTATATTATATGACCACCCGCAAACATGGGGGAGCCGAGTGGTGACCGACGACATGCGTTTCCTCACAAGTTCCAAGGACGTCCTACGCTCTCCGATGTGGAATTGTTGTTGATTGGGTCCGTGAGCACACGAGAAAGGCTGCAAGACCTTAGTACTGGTGAGCGGAGGCCGTGCAGGGCATCTTCCTCTTTTACCTCGCGCACACACCACCACTGCCACACACCCCATGTGCTCAGTCTCTGCTGCTCCCCCACCCACAAGTTGAAAGATTTGATTCCATGCTCAAGGACTATTGACAAGATACATTGTATTTAGGTTGCTTATGTCAATTTCATTCTGTTCCTCTCTCTCTCTCTCTCTCTATCTTAAATAGAGAGACTGGTTTCGTCCTCAGATTTTATATTAGCTTTATGAAATCATTGGCTTTCGTTTTGTCCTTGAATTTTATTTTATTATATGGAATCATTGGCTCTCTCCGTCTTTCTACCCTCGTAACCGCGCATCTTTTTCATGTTCTCCATACCACTATTCTCTTCATCGTACCATACAACCATTCTCTTCAGCCGATGGTGACGGACATTGGAGAGATCAAGAGAGGTTTAATCCATATTATATATATATATATAAAATCCATTAGAAAATTGATCCCGGACCGATAAATACTATCAAAAACACATTGTCCTTAATCATATTTAAGACTAGAGTACCATCGCTCGTTTTTAATTTTGAAGTGCCCATCCATTTTTCTTTTCAGTTACACTGTATAATCAAGATCTTAAATCATAATCATATATATGAATATTAAATACTAAATCATAGACCGTGAACTATAATATGTACATCATTGATAATAATATATTTTAATATCCAAGACTTGTAGTTCAAGATATAGAATTTGGATTTAAGGCTTGGGATAAAGGATCGTGATTTTAGGGTTTGTATGTAATAATAACTACCTAGCGAATAATTAGCTATAGGGTCCTCGTAGAGTTTTACGGTCATATTGTTTAAAAGATCATCGCATAATGTTGTAATTGATTCATAATATCTAATTGTTTTTGGCGGATGCAAGTGATTTCATCCTAATTCTATATATATTTATATATTCTCTAACGTTGCAAGGGTTTAAATTATTTCATACCAAAGTATAACCTTATTTGTTTTTCTTTTTGAACAATATATATACTAAGAAACTATAAGGTAGAATTCATAATAATTTAATGGTTCACTATGAGATATGAACAATTTTGTATCTTTTCGCAAATAGTTGGTTGGTTTTTTTTTTTTTAATTTTTGGAAACGAAAAGGCGGACGAATACTATGCTTCTCTAATTCGACTCCAACTTCTACAAACTAATGTTTATACCTTTTTTTTATTCCATTATATGCCATATTCTAATAAACATAACAACATTCTTCGGTTGTAATTTTAACTTATAATATGATATAAAACTGGGGGAGTATAGACACTTTTATATTAAGTTAGTTATATGTGTGTGCATCGAGATAGTAAGTAACATTTATATATTTTGGTTTTATGTACTCAGAATATGTAATGTTCCAAAAATATAGAATAGAAACGTTCATTGTGGTTTGTATCACAGTGAACCAAAAAATAAAAAAAAAATATCTCCAGTCCAAAAATAACATGTGTTGGAGCAAAGGAAGCCAATCGAATTTCCAACTCCATTTTCCTTGTTAAACATATGAGAGAATTTTCATTCATACTAATAAATCTTTAATTTTCCTAACCAATGTGAGTGTAGTTGAAGGTGAAGGAGGGATGTGTCGAAGAAAAATATCAACCGATATGTCTTCCGGAACACGAAGCCCCAACCATAGCAGCCACCTTACAATGAATTGAGGCTATTCCGAGAAGGTAGACATTTGCAGCCAAAATAATTACATCATCATCAATATTTCTCAGAACAGAGTCAAGACCAGTATTAGAGTCATGATCCCAAGCTCCATCATAGTTAAATACTAGTATTAAACTTAAGTGTATATTATGCTGATTCTTATATTTTTCAGACTGTGTAGTGTGAGTGTGTACTATAATAAATAGTTTGTATTGTATTTTTTTTTTTTTACGGATCGAATGATAGCACCGACACTAATGTTCATGTAGAGAGGAAGATTAAGAAAGATATGATCAATGATATTTACGAATGAGAAAACGACGGTAAGAGATTAAGTGATAGCGGTCGGTTAAGGCGATAAGTCGAATAGAAGAATATCACATTATAAAAAATATCAATTTCCATCTTCTCTTAAATCATTCTTCCTCATTTAATTACATTCCGTGTGGGAATTTGAGTTGCCTTATTGGCTTAGTAATCAGCTATAATTCTTATATATATATATGTATAGATCCAGTAAGAGCGATGGTTGGTCCTCGATGTTCATATGATTGAATATACCAGGATGACCAATCTCCAATCCGACAATGACGTCCATCTAAATTTCTCATCTCGTCTCTGAATGGATGATTGGTGAAGAAAATGTCGATAGTTTTCTTCTTCGTTCAACTTTTGAACTCCATATATCAGCAGCTACTGATTAACTAACTGGTCATCAATCAATTACGATGATGTGGAATTGGGACATGGTGACTGAATTGGAGTAGTTGTGGATCGTATTCGTCGTAAGTATGCCTTAGAAAACCTTGGAACATAGAGGACAACAACATGACCTTCTGTTGCAATGATTGACCACACGTAAAAGAAGAAGGAAGAAGAAGAAGAAGAAAAGAAAGGGTAAAAGACTTGCTTGCAAATAAGGAGAAAGAAGGCGACAAGTTTCAGAAGAAGACTGAGGATGAGCAAACCATGGAGCAAGAAAGGATTAAGCTTCAGCAGGACTAGTATTTGCAGATCAAAGAGATTGAACAACAACCGACTAACTAATACTGCAGATGATACGATACATGCGACTTTTGGGTGGAATATCTGCAGAAAACACTTGGTTCTACGCCTCAAGAATACTATATACAAGTCAACAAGGTTCAACAATAACACAAAGCATATATATATATATATATATATATATATATATATATATATATATATACTATATACAAGTCAACAAGGTTCAACAAATAACACAAAGCATATATATATATATTGTACATTACTGAACCTTCTTAGAGAACATAGTTCTAAGTATTAAGATAACGCTACTGCTTCCACCACCGCTGCTGCCGCCGTCGCCGCCGCTGGGCCTCGTATTTGGATGATCAACCTCACAACCCATATCCACACTGGAGTTCCGTGTCCCAAAACCAGCATCTCCATCTCCTGTTCTGTCTTTGATGCCACTGCTCACATTCGCCTCCTTCTCATGAAGAGTTTTAGCAGTCTTCCCTCGAAGCTTCCACACTGGATTGGTCCTGCTGAGATGGAAGCCTCCGGCAGACCTCATCCTGCCCGAGCTCAGTGGCCACCTCGAGGAAGATGAGGTGGTGGCCGGCAGCGGCTCGGAGGACAACCCACGGGAGTTGCTCCGGGAACAAGGTTCCCCACTGGCCCTGCGTCGGGTCACCGCCGCTTTGGCCCTGCCCCATGAGCCAGTGCCGGTACTTGCGGAGGAGTGGCTGCTGTTGAAGGGCCAGATACCGTTCCTGGACTTAGCGGAGCCACCCGTGCCGCCCCTTATCCGGTTCCTCCTCTTCCTGATCTCTTCCAACGCCTTCTCGCCCGCCTTGATGAGATCTTTCCACTTGTTCGAGTGGGAGGCTGGCGGAGCACTCCCCAAAGAGGAGCTTGGAGCAGATGGCGGCTGCACGTTGGTTCCAGGCTCAGAAAGGCAATGGGAAACGCAGCCTTGGCTGGGAATAGAGAGCGAGAGAAGGTCGAGGGGGAGGACGACCCCGTCGACGAAGAGCTCGTCGGCCGTGAGGAAGTCTGTTTGGCAGGTGGAGGGATTCTTGCCGACCATCCAAAACTCGAACTCGGGCGAGGAGGTGCAGCTGCTGCTTGCTCTCGGTGGCTCCGCAGATAGCTCCATGGAGATGCAGCAAAGAGTGGAACGATGACAGCAGAAGCCACAGTCAAAAAGGTAGCTTGATATATACCAAGGACAAATCTTGGCTGCAACACAATGTGAATCAACTAAGTTGAGCTAAGGAAAGAGGCTTGGTAACGAACAATATGCAAGACAATTTGGTATGAACATTAAAAAAAGAAGAAAAAAGAGATGTGTTTATTTTTGTGGAGCAGCTGCCCAAGCTGACACACACACTCAAGTGCTTTGTCTCAGAGGTGTGGAAGTAACACAGGCTCTCTATCCATTCAACAAAAGGGTGGGGTGGGGTTTGCTTTGCTTGTTCCAAACACAATGTGACAGGACATGATCTGGACAGGGAATCTTGAGATGATCTAAGCAGCTGGAATGTATTGAGCATGATCGGATTGAAATTTCAGAATCTTCCATGGAAGAATTGTGATGGATTATAATTGGCAGGCAGAAATAAATTGGCACAAACAATGAGGCTGATGATGATGATGATGATGATGGTGATGATGATGATATTAAACATTGTATTGATGATGATGATGACGACGAC